ACCTTGGAATTCATTGGTATAGGGAATTCCCAAATGAGAAAATTCTCTCTGTTAATGCATGTTGGCACCTAGCTGCAACTTACGGTGTCAGAAAATTGCTTAGAGCACTCAATCAAAGTAACACAATTATTATATAAACATTTCAGGTATTTAGATAGATAGACAGACAGACAAGTAGTCTACCTTTTGTCTACCTTTCCATGAATTAACCTAGTTAACTGTCATTTAGAATAGTAGTCCTGCATATAGCATAGAATTAGAAAAAATCACCACTTGATTTTTGGCATCATAGTACAACTTTCGAGACTACCATCAGCACTTGGTTTTGGCTTAACTACTACCTTGCTACACTCTCCCCCTACTTCCCCTAGCCACTTCGAGCTGAAGGGTGTGAAATTAACCCTCAGTTTATAGATAAGGAAACCAAAGCCAGGAAATGAAATGACTTCTCTTGGGTCATAGAAGTAATCAGGTTCAAAGCTGGGTTTAGAATATAAACATTCCTAGTTGCTAGTCCCATACTTCCTTAGACTGTTAAACCTGACCCTGCTCTCTGTAACAACTAGCTGACGGGAAGATTCCTTTGTTATTATGGCTTGTTAGCTCTTTACTCATAAATCTACATTACTTAACCTGCTGACATAATTATATACTGTGTCATATTTCCGGGGAATTGATAAAATGAATACCATGAATTTATGCAGTGAAAGGGCTTCTAGGAAACTGTTCACAAGATGCTATGTAATAATGACATTCTAAGCAATATATAACCTAAGTAGTGAATTTATCTCATACCAAAAATCTAATTTCTATAGGAAACAAAGCTTGTCTGTGATTACTTGCCTTGTCCTGTACCTTGTGACTATTGTTTATTGAACAGGAATAGTACATCCCTCATTCTTCGAGCACTTTTCTTTATCCCATGAAAAGAGCAAAAAATTACATTTAATAAATGAAAGTTTGTCATGGTGTATTCTATATCATTAATCCTTGGTCTGAAATAGCATTTACAGGGGTAGATGCTACTAGATCCTTTTCTTCATTATAATTCAGTATTTGAGGTAAGAAAAAGCAAAGCTAGAAAAAATAATTAAAATGTTCTTCCTGCTGTTTCTGCGACTGACTTCTTTATGATTTGGAAGAAATAGTTCAAATTGGTGGCAACTAGCTGTGTGATCTTGGGCAAGTCATTTGTTGTTTCCATTTTCTCATCTGTGAAATGCAAGGGTTGGACTGAATTATTTCGGAGATTCCTTGTGGCCCTAAAAATATATGAGCCTATGAAATAGAAACACTTAAAATTTTTCAAATAAATTTTATTCAAATTTATTTCAAATAAAATTTAATCAGTTTATTTTATTTCAGATAATACTTATCTTTTTGATTCATAAAATAGACAGTTGGAATCTATTGCCTGATGCTTTCAACTTAAGGAATGAGTCCTCATTAGTCCTATTAGTAGCTCATAAACAGCACTGGCTTTGTAGTTAAGCCATATTGTTCAGAAAATAATAGTGTTTCTTGGTTGTTTTTTGTTTGTTTGTTTGTAGGCAGTTGGGGTTAAGTGACTTGCCCAGGGTCACACAGCTAGTTAAGTGTCAAGTGTTTGATCTGAGGCTGGATTTGAACTCAGGTCCTCCTGATTTCAGGGCCGGTATGCTATCCACTGTGCCGCCTAGCTGCGTCTCATAATAGTGTTTCTTGAAAATATCTTTAAAGCTTCTTAGGAAAACATCATATTTGTAGGGTTTTTTTTTCTTTTCAGGGTTTCAATCCTTCAGGTGGTGGAGGTGGGGCAGAAGGTTCATGAAAATCAGTAATAGAGCAGCAACAGATTGAATGATTTGACCATGGTCACACAACCAATATATTTCAGAGGCAACACTTGACCAGAGGTCTTCATGACTCCAAATCTGTCTCTATCTACTAGGTCATGCTGCTATTAGTTATATCACAGAAAAAAAAGAACAATTATGGAAACTCAGCATTCTGAAGTGACCATATGAATAATTAAATTACCCCACTTCTTCAATCATGGGAAATGATGTGAGCAAATACCACAAGTATTCTTGTACCCTGATTCTTGTACTTACAGAAACATAGATCAGAAAAATAACCAAAGAGATAATTTGTTGCCATTTCCTGTCTGAAGGGTCTCCATATCTGGTTAGTTATGGTCAGTTATAAAGCCAGCAACTGCCAAAAAATTTTCGAGTCTTCCCAATTTCCCCCATTTCTATCCCAGGTCTCATACTTTCATCATACCCTCTCTTTTCACGTTATCCTTTCACTTCAGAATTGGTCTACTAAAAATTCAGCCCCCTAGCCTAAACCATTTAAAAAGAGGGCTGTTTTCTTCTTCTTCTTTTTTTTTTTTAAGGCAATTGGGGTTAACTGACTTGGCCAGGGTCACACAGCTAGTAGGTGTCAAGTGTTTGGTTTGAGGCCTGATTTGAACTCAGGTCCTCCTGACTTCAGGGCCATTGCTGTATCCACTGCACCACCTAGTTTCCCTGTCTGTTTTCTTCTTGAAGCTCTTCTGGTATAAAGAGACTCATTCTTCCTTAGTAGATTGTTGGATCATTTTTTATCTTCACAGTCAGAAAGTTCTTCCTTATACTCAGTCAAAGTCTCACCTACTTTATTTTTAACTTTTCCTCTTGTATAATCATTTGGCATGCGTAGATTATATGTTTCGCATAATCTTCTTCAAAACCTTTCGTATATAGTACTTGAAGATAGGAATGGTCATCTCATCCTCTTCTTCTCTTGGCCAGCCCTACCTTACTAACTCACAGTTATCCTTGGTCAAGCTTATCTGCCATGCTTTTTGGTTATTGTTTATTTCTCAAGTATACCACCTTGTCTTTTTCCTTTTGACTTTCATTTTGGTTTTGTGGCACTAGGATAAATACTTGTGTTATTTTTCTTTTTAAAGTAAGATCTTAAAAATCTAAATAATCTGATGTCCTTGGATTTGCTGTTGGGGCAGGACCAGTAAGACATTACCTTTGTAGTAGCTTTTTGGTTTGCAAAGTGTGGTCTCAGAACCCTCTAGTGTCCCCATGATCCTTTTATGGGCTATACAAGATCAAAACTATTTTCATAATGATACTAAAACATCTTAAGTTCTTACATGGTAATTATTGATAGATATAACCCACATAAACAAAAGTTCTTGAAAATGGGTTCCCAAGAATTTTTAAGAGTGTAAAGGGGTCCTAAGACCAAAAAGTTTGAAAACTGCTACTTTAGCTGATGGATTTTTAGCAGGCAGTTTGGGGATGATGATGATGATGATGATGATACTTGGCATTTATATAATAAAGTGATTTAAATATAATATCTCATTTGAGTGTCACAATAGCCCAAGTGAGGTTGGTACTATGGTTTTATTTTATTTTTGACCAGACCTGTGATTTCATTAGTGTAGAGAGTTTAGGCAAAGAAATTCCCTCTACCAATGAAGATTCGCACCTGTTCTGTACTTTAGTTATCTGTGACACTGAAAGATTAATGGATTTGCACAGGGTCACATGGCCAGTGTTTGTTAGAGCTGAGAGTAGAACCCAGTGCTTCCTGATTTCAAGACTAATGGACTGCCTCTCACTGTATTATTAGCCCCATTTTACAGATGGGGAAACTGAGGTTCAGTGAAATATGAAGTTAAGTAGTTTGCCAGAGGTCATAGAGCTAGTAAGTGTATGTGGATGGGGTTGGGGTGGAGGAGGGTGGAGATGGGATTTGAACTCAGGCCTTCCATACTCTAAATTCAGCATTTTCTCTGTTATGCTAAATTATGCAAGCCTTTCTAAAAAACTGTCTGAAATGCAAGCTATCAGGAAGAGAGCAACAAGTTGATATTGCTAGTGAAATTTTAAAAAAATTATGGCAGGTTTCTTTCATCATTGTTAAAAAAGAAAGCAAAATCACACTATGTGAACATATGCGGGGGCATCTCTGGGTACTTAGGTACATGCTACACTATGGAATATTAGCTTTTTTGTGTGTAAATTTCCATTTTCATTTTTTATCATTGATGCAAATGTGCGGTGTCTTTCAGTGCTATTTCCAAGTGCTGGACAATTTAGAATAAGCCCCTAACAAAAGTCTGAAAAATTCCTGATTTTTTTTTAAGAAAGAAAGACATTCTTTCAGTTTATCATACTCTGCAAAATAAGATTTATCATGCTAGAGTTACAAGCTGATTATAATATGTCTATCCCTTGGTAAATTATGCATGGCTTTCTCCTTATGTGAAGTGTATGTGGTTTATTGCAGGGGGTAAAGCTGAAAATATTCCAGGACACATGTTCGTATAGGGTCTATACAGATGGCTAGTCAGTATATATAATGATTTTTTGTACCCAGTCCCCAGTGTCTTGGCATTACTTTTATTATGTCTGCACTATTCATGTAGATGAAATACCACAACAAATTCCTTTACCATTGTAGCCTCAACCAGACTTTCTTTTTTAAAGAAAAAGCAATTACCATCATAAAAATTCCTTACTGGGGAACTTTCCATGTTGCGTTATCATTCCATGAGTTTAATAATAATGTGTGTGTGTTTTTCTAAAAATCTTTTTAAAGAGACCTAAATGTCTAAAAAGATTTTGAGGTCTGCAGTTCCCTCTCTAATGAGGAACTCTAAAACTCAGGGTGAGAAGGAACCAGGCAAAAGCAGCTGAGTTAGGCCTTTTTAACCTCCTGGTGTGTACGTTCCAGATTTATAAATCAGGGTCTGGCTAAAGATAATCCACTAGTCACACACACACTCTAACCACTGTCTAAATAGGGCTAAAGAAAAGTGAAATGCCAGCCTGTTATCTTTTGGGAGAATGCTAATGCCTATAATTGGTCATTGTCTGACCCTTGTAAATATGTATATATGTAGATATAGATATATAGACATAGATATATAAATATATATGATATGTCTGTCCTGGTGGTTCTAGCTGCCTGGAAGCTAATTTTCTGTTTTCTGTGAAATCTTGCAGTGGTGTTATCAGGGAGAGTGTGTTCCTTTTGGCACTTGGCCCCAGAGCGTAGATGGGGGCTGGGGTCCCTGGTCAATATGGGGAGAGTGCAGCAGGACCTGCGGGGGAGGCGTCTCCTCATCCTTAAGACACTGTGACAGTCCAGCGTAAGTAGCTAAAGTAAGCCAGAGCCAACAAAAAGACACAGTTGGAAGTGATTCAAAGCTGTGGTTTCACATGTTATCTGTAAAAACGTTTCTCCAGTGAGCCAGCACATGTCTTCAGAGCAGTCGGTCGCTGCAGGAGAGCCGGAGAAAGAAAAAACTGTGCTAGACAGACATGCTTTTTTCCTTCCCTGCCCCTCCCCCATTTAAAAATTAAACATTTGATGCATGGTACCCTACTGTAGTAATCAAGGCCTTTTATCTTGGGATAGAATCAGATAAGATTTTCCACTCTCAGAAGTAACATGTGATTCATAGATATTCCCAAATCTGGCCCCAGCTCAGCACCATTATCCCCAGGAAAACCTGAGGTTTGGTTTTTGTGTGTGTGTGTGTGTGTTTTTTTTCACATGTCACATAAAATGATTACTGGTACATTAGTATTAAAAGAGCCAGTGAGAGCACCTCAAGGGTTGAAATGCCTTGATTCACATCACAAATCACAATGAAAAGAATACTGCCCATGTGTTAAAATAGTTTCCATTTCACATGCCCCCATTAATCATCTTCCTGAGCTGCCACTACCCTTCTCCCCAGGACTACTGGAGGTAGGTCAGCCTGCTCCTCTCCCACCCTGACTCTCTTTGGACTGAATTCCCTCTGGCCCAAGGCCAGGCCCTTCACTGTGCTTTACTAGCTGGGTTGCTTTTGTCTCCTACTAGTGAGAGTGGCAGGTGGACTTCTCTCTGCTTTACATTCCACCCCTCTCCCACAGAATAAATAGTTCCTCAACCTGATAATTAGATGCTCCCATTTTTAATTAACTTGCTCTATTCCTCTCCCTTCCTGTCCAGAGGTCAATCTGGAGATATCTCTTTTTTCTAGTTCATATTTACTTAGTGGTACAGAATCAAAAGGGTGCCTTATGATGCCCTCTGTACTGTTAATATTGTTGTTATTATTTTTATTATTAGCTGTGTATGGAGAAAGTTTTCCTTTTGTTCTACACAAGAAGACTTAATACTTCTTTCCATGGCTCCCCTCACCAAAAGGAAAGCTAGACCCCTTTTCTTGCCTCACTGACACCTAAGCTTACTTACTCTCTTACTACTCTTAAAATGGAATTATTTTACTTTTTAAAACCCCTCTGACTCTCCTTTCTCTGCTGCCTTGCTTGGATTTTTCTCTCTGTTTTCTGTGAGTTGGTAGTCCTTTGCTTAGCACAAACCCATGAGGCTAATGTCTTCTCTCCATTTTTCTTCCCTCCTTATAGCAAAGTCTCTATTCTCACCACCACCATGTAAACTGGTCTGGGCATCGAGGGCATTTATACACTTCCTAATTCTCATGCCAGTTGAGCCGTTTTCTTTCCTTGGTACTGGTATTCAATAACCAACTATCATTTTAATTGACCAGTGTAGACATGAGGGAGCCAAAATTATAAAACACATGCAAAATATACGACCCAAATGTGGCTGCCATAAAGAAACAGTCATTAGTAAAAGACATAAAATAAATATGAAAGAGATGATTTAGACTTTTTTTTTAAAAAAAGGAAATATACTATTTTCTTTCTAAAAATAGTCTGCCCATATAATGGCATATTACTTTTCCTAATGTTATTCTTCAAGATTTATCCAACTCCAAGATTCATGCCAACTAGGAAGTTAAGTATTGATAAATTTTCATTAAAGGATGTATAATTTAAGTGATCTTTAGAATCTAAAACCAGAAAATAAAATTAAGTAAAAGAATATGAAGTCACCTGACTTCCAAACAAAAATTTTAAGTCTTCTAGGTGATTCTTAAATTACGAATAATTAGAAATACAACATTCTAACATTTCCTACTTTGAACTGAAATGATTTCCTAAGATGCTTGTTAACAGCAGTAGCTCAGGTTATTGCAATCCCCATTCTTTTAGCCTAGAAAGAATATCAACTTTTTTTGTGTGTGGACCTTGCTAATAATATATTCTACCAAGTCCAATTTTGTGCTATAGGAAACTTGGATGACTTTGTATTATGCAGCTGTCTAAAAGTGAGTGATTTCCTTATTTGATGCTTAAGACCGAGCACCTAGTTGCAATGACAATTACAATGTATAAATTTCAGTGAATTTTCCTAAGCATGTTAAACATGACAATTAGGAGAAGACACAGTGTTAATCATAGTAATCTAATTTTATGCTCTACGTACAGAATTATTATCCTTACAAATTATCAATATTCTAAATAATTAAAATTTAATAAAAGAATGTTTAATATTTTAAAACAGCTTATAATATGTTCACAGAGTATCTGAATCTCTGTGTGTATATATACATATGTATATATATATATATATATATATCATACTCACATGTAAAACAAAATATTTTTTCAGACCTTCAGGAGGTGGAAAATATTGCCTTGGGGAAAGGAAACGGTATCGCTCCTGTAACACAGATGTAAGTAAAACTAAACTCCACTATGAAAAATTAGTCTACTTTCCCCTTAGAATTTATTATTTGGTGGTTTGACATTAATGTTAGTCTCCTTTGGCCTTTGTTTTTATTAAATCCAATTGTAAAAAGGAGATAGAAAATCTAAAATGTGGAGTGTTTAAAATACAATAAAGCCTCATTCATTTGGACCGTATTCATTTAGAATCAGAGGATGGAATAGACTAGTGACATGGAGATAGAAAATAGGGTTTGGATCTTCTGTGTACTTATATTGTAATATTTTTCCAACCCGGATTTTTTTAATCCAGAGGCTGCCTTCAGTTGGGGATACTTGGATTCATGTGCTAGGAGCCTTTGACACAGACTTTCTGTGTGATTCTGTACAAGTCCCATACCCTTTTAGTGCCCTCCCTGAGCAACTCAGTAAGATAATAAATTGCAGAATAGATAGCAGTTGGCATTGGTAGGAGGATTTTCTTCATTTGGAGATTCCTATAGCAATGAAAGAATAGATTTAATTTTTTTAAAAATCAGAATTTGGGTTAATTCAGGGTGTGACCTGAACCTTTGTATGAACAACAGGGGGGAAAAAAAGGATTTGCCACACAAATCAATATAACTTTAAGAAAACCCAAAATATTAAAATTTGAACTTAGAAAATGTACAGTTTAGAAGGTTGTATTTTAATCACAAAAGGACTCACCACAACATTCTTTTAAAGATTGACCTTCCCTGGTATGCTTAAAATAAAATAAATCCAATACTCCAAAAACTCATCTGTTAGCAAAAAGAGGTAGATCTGAAGTATAAACAGTTTTTCAAAGAGACTTTTAATTATTTAAAAGAACAGTTTTTCAAGTGATTTAAAGGCACATATTTCTATGTGACCAATTAGTGTGCTGAGTACTTCCTTATTCATTAAAATGGCACAAAATCGTTATGCATACTTGAAAATAATAGAACTATTTCCAAATGTTCCATAATTTTGATTATTTACTAATTTAGACTGGTCTTCTATTCTAGATAGTATAGGTTAGTGAGATTTTCCTGTGTATGAAGACACAGAATTACACATGTGTATACCTATATATGTATATATGTGAAAAAATTAAGAAATGCCTATAGAATTCTACAGAAGTAAAAGCATATTTCAGTGATTCCCAGTACTAGTTTTCTAACATTTCAGGATCTCCATTCATCTGAAGGGATGTTATGAAATTCTCAAAAACATGATCAATCACAATTTGTATCAAAACTGAACATAGGCCTTTCAACATTTTTTGGAGCATGTATTTATGAAGCCAGTGATGATAGGCATGATTCCAGAAAAGTTAGAATTCACTAACATACTTTAAAACAGAAATAATATAAATAATAAATATATAAATAAAAATATAAATGAATAAATAAACATGAATGAATATCAGCCCTGAAAAGTTCAACAAAACTGATCTTGTCATAGATACTTATGCACCAATGGGACACAATGAAAGTGGTGCTTTAGAGAGATTAATCTTGTTTGGGGAAAGGTGGTGAGATTAGAGACAGTGAAAAGAAATTAAGGGTCTCTTGCAATAATGCCATCATTATTCTACAAGTTAACTTCTCTTCTTTGGCCATTTCAGTTCAATTTCCCCCCTCTATCTGATAATCTCTCATCCTTAACATTTGTACCCAGTTGCATTATTTCTCTGAGACACCCTCAACCCTTGTATCCAGCTGTATTATCTCCCTGAGATATTCTATTCTTGTTCCATATTTGCAAGGTAGATTTCTATGCATTTTAAAATTACAAGAAGAAACGCTGGGAGTGAGAATTACCCAACAGGACCAGAGCAGCCATGAGATTTAGCAAAGCTCTAAGATTGGACTTGATGGGGGATAAGATATGTCTTTTCATGGCTGACTTTTGGGTATCTTACAAGTAAGGGCCTCCTGATTTTGACACGTATTTGTCCTTGAAAAATGATCAACTTCAAGAAGAATTTGCCAGATCTCAAACCAGTTCAAGAATTGCTGATCCTCTTCACCTCACCCCCACCTTCCATTGGTGGATCCCCTTAGAACTGCTCCTTGTGGGGAAATGGGATCTCTTTTGTTTCTTTCTTAGGTATGTGTTCTAGAATTGGCAGAGAAGTAAAGAGCAGCCTTCTCTACCCCCACAGGGCTGTAAACCAATGAGAAGAATAAATGAGAAATGAGTTTTCAAGGAAATTAAAAACAATATTATTATATCTAGAGTTCTGCATCCAGATCAGTATTCCATAAGGATTTCTTGTAATGGTGGAGAATGAAGAGTGAGTGGATGAAACTGATTAACATGGCAGGTCAACCTACTCCAGTTGGAGAATAGGCGTGGTTTAGAAATACGGATAAGCTATGTCTTTTAAGTCTGATTCTATAAATACTCCTGATCCTGTAAAAGGACCCCTTATTTGAGTACAGTATTTAATTTTATGCTTTGGGGATCAACAAATACACGGGCAGATAAATGGCTTCTTGGCTTATCAAAGGCAAAACTCATAAAGAAAGTACAAGGTTTAGAAAAACAGGATTTTTGAAGTAAGACTAAAGATTATTTAGCTAGCTTTTTATTATTTCGCTAGCAGCAAAAAAGATAGCTTTGGCAGTGATGGTCTTCAAATCAATCAACAAGCATCCCATGGTAGCTAAATGTAGCACTTCAAGATTTTACAGAGTGCTTTACAAATATTCTCTCATTTAATCCTCACCACCCCCCTGAGAAATAGGTGCTATTGTTACCCTCATTTTACAAATGAGAGAACTTAGGCAGAGACATATTAAGTGACTTGCCCAGGGTCACAAACCCACTTAGGCCTGACTCCAAATTCAGGAGCTCTAGTCACTACATAATCTATTATTAAGTGTCTACTATGTACTGACAGGAAGGAAATAATATTCCAATGAGGGGAGCTTATAGGTTAATTATATAGAGGATGCTTCTCAGTCTTTGCTGAAGAAAAAGGGGTAGCCATGTGGCACAGTGGATAGAACTCTTGGCCTGGAGTCAGGAGGACCTGTGTTCAAATGTGGCCTGAGACAACTTACTAGCCATGTGAACCTGGGGAAGTCACTTAACCCTGTTTGCCTCAGTTTCCTCATCAGTAAAATGAGCTGGAGAAGGAAGTGGAAAACTACTCCAGTATCTTTGCCATGAAAACCTCAAATGTGATCACAAAGAGTCCGATGTGACAACAATAAAATCTGAGCAAGATACTGCCATCCACTGAATTTAGAAAATGGAGAATTTTCCACACAGCATTATAGGTTTTGCAAAAAGCTTTTAAAATAGAACATACAGTTACCTCCTGGGGGAGTAGTTTAGGTGTGTACTTTAATTCTATGAGGAAACTCTCCTCTTTTTAAAAAAACATTCCTGATCTCACCACCCCTTCCACCCCACACCACACCCTCCCCTCCCAAATTTAACATTAAATATTACATTTGGTCTTGAATGCACTGGCCTTTTAAGACTGCATTTTTTGAGTCAGAAGAGTGCTGGTAAATGATGTCAACATCAAGCACAGAACTAGTCAATGAGTCAACAGCATTTATTAAGTCCCCATTATACACAGAGCACCATATTAGGTGCTAGGGGATAGGAAAGAACTAAGACACCAATCCCTGCCCTGAAGGAGTTTATAATTTAGTTGAGTTGACAGAATACCCAAGCTGTGGAAGCAACTAAAGAGCACATTTACAAGTATCAGCAGATGCAAATTAATTCTGTGCAAATTGAGTAAATAAGTCTTAGAATCATAGAATTTCAGAAATGAAAAGACCCTCAGAAGTGATCAAGGTCAACCTGTATCTGAGTAGTAACCTCCTCCCTCTCCCCTCTTCCACCTATTCCTGGCCAAGTAGGAGAGATGGGGAGCTCACTACTTACCCAAGCAGCCCATTCGACTTTGGGGCTTATCTAATGATTAGAAAGTCCCAAACATTCAGTTGATAGAAAAGTTAATAAAGTCAGGCAGGTCAATTGTGGACAACTTCTAGAAGTGAATTTTAAACTTTGGTTTGAAGACAGTGAAGAATGGATTAGCAGGAACATTTGGATAGGACACTTCAGTTGGAAGGAATAGCGAGACATGAGAAGGGGAATGGGCAAGTTTTATATGGAGAATGAAATGCAAATTGATTTTGATGGGGAAGAGGCCTGATAGTGGGGTATAATGAGGTAGTAGGCTGCTAAGACACAATGTGTTTCTCATTTAACTATCACTCCTAGTGCCTAATACTGTATCTTGAGTGTTGTGGTAGTCCAGAAAATAAAAGGAAATTTAGAAAAATGTTTTGCTATTCAGTTTGGCCTTTGTCACTTTATTCTTATCCCTGGAACCAGGAATGGTTAATCCAGGACCCATAGTAAAAATGTTGATTGCATTCATTTTATTAGCTTGGAAATTCCCTACAGTGAACTGAAAAAAATACCTCAGTAGATAAGTAATCCATCAGGAGAATTTGCTTTAAAATATAGATGAATACAAAGAAGATGTCTACCAATGATTTCCATTTTTATTTAATTACCCTAATCCTAGCAGCTTGCCTTGTACATAGTAGGTAATTGATGTTTATTGAATTGAAAGTGTGGACTACTCTGGTTTAAGAAATTTGGAAGGGCCTCTCTTCTCACCGCAAGTTTTGCATACTTTAAAGCTACACAAATCCTCTTTAATAGCCCTGTAAATAAGATCTGAGAGAAATCTTTCCAACGGGTGGTAATTAACTTGACAGCCAAGAGCTATCAGACTGTCCATTAGGCATTTCTGGGCCCAGTCATTTGTGATCCCAGAGCTTTTCATGAGAGTTAAATAGGGAGTAAATACAAAGGATAAATACAAATGGTCTTGGATTAATTTTCCAACCTATGCCCAGAACGAGCTAATATTAGATAGCTGAACAGTGTGTGTGCAAAGATTCTTTCTTGAGGGTCATGTGATGGGCAGCCCTCTGAAACTTTCGAGGCCCATTCTTTTCTT